TTACTCGCTGAGCACAGGCGAAACAACGAAACAACCTCGCTCTCGAAGGTGTAATGGACAATACGTCTCTGTTGAATGGAGCAGCACGGTTATACGTGAGGTCGTGGCGGGGTTAAGACTAAAGGAGACAATTGGTTGTGTGAGTTTGTGGGGCACAAATACAAAGCTCCCCCATATAGCCTGTAACAGACTGTAGGGGCAAATGCTGTTTGCGAGCACCCGTTCAGGCCGGCACGGCACACGAGGGCGTGGGTGGCCACCACCACGCCCGACCGCCTTTGTCTCCCCAGTAGCGATGTTTACACACCGCACCAGGTACTCATTTCAGGCTGAGTCGAGCTAGGGGAAGGCCCAGGACCGGTTCGGATAATCGTCACCTCCGAGCTCTGGAGACCACCTGGAGAAGATTCCAGAGCACTCGTTGACGATGATCGCGAACCAGTGGAGACTCTGACTTTTTGAAGCTGTTAACGTGACATTTGTTACTGGTAGGAACCCACTGGTTACACCAGCCCACAGGGGATTATTGTGTCCGTCCGTCCGTCGTGCAGGGAGGGGCTGGGTGGGGAGGGTGGGGCTGGGTGGGGAGGTTGGGGCTGGGTGGGGAGGGTGGGGAGGGGCTGGGTGGGGAGGGTGGGGAGGGGCTGGGTGGAGAGGGTGGGGCTGTGTGGGGGATGGGAGGGGTGGGGCTGGGTGGGGAGGGGCTTGTCACCCCGTGGTGACCTTATAAAACTCAACGTTTAATCTACTCACGCCGGCTTGTGCCCGCCCTCACAGTCGGGCATATTTGCGGAATACACCACGCCGCCGTTGACCCTGCAGGCCATTGACCGAGCAACCCAACGTTCCTACCAGCTCCCTCCGCAGGAATGTGTTATGTTACAGTATAACATCCGTTCTTTTTCCATTAAAAACGATATAAGTGTTAACATTTTTTTGCAGCACCCTGTATGGAATTGTCTTTGAAACCGATTGGTCGACAACAGAGGTTAGCCTTCTGTAGGGTCAAGTCTCACCAGCGTCAGGCCAGAGAACGCCAACAGGCGAACAGTCGAAAGACGATGCCGCACGTGTCAGAGCATGTGGAGCTTGGGGTGAGCAGCTGCAATGTGGGAGACCTTTTTGTAAATTCTGTCTTTGCAGGCTGCGTCACGTGGGGGAGAGGGCCCCCTGCAGGATAATGCGTGGTGCCGATTGTGGTGGTGGAACAGCAACTTGGCGCGACTTTGGAGTCTTTTCTTTCATGTTCATTAATAAAATGAAAGGGGTGAAATTGCCGTGCTGAGGGCGAGAGAGCCTTGCTGTTGTTGTTGTTTTGATCGGAGGCTTTCTGTCCGCTGTGCAAGGCATGTCTGGTGGTTGTCACGGGGACAGAACGCGAACAATTTGCGGTTTTTTTTCAATGTTGTTTAATCTATAAAGGTGTCCTGAAAATGATTACTGTTTACCAAAAAGAAAATAATGATTTTTTTTTAATCATGGGACCTTTTTGTTGTCAATATCAATGTATGAAAAATAAGAATAGTTTAACCCTGCCTGACAATAACACAGGTGTTAAGATGTTCACGCACCAAACAGAAATGTTCACCACAAGGACGTGTGGTGCATGTCACCACGGCGCTTCCCAATCTTCACAAGGCTGCCACAAGGGGCCGTCCATAAATGACGTCACGCAATTTTGGATGATTTTTCACCCCCCCCCCCTCTTCACACGGCGTCACAAAAAGTCAGACCCCCCCTCAAATATGAAGTCACAAAGCTCTGCCCCCCCCAAATAAAACATGCTTCAAATCGCTTTAAACTATTGTCATTGTAGTGCGTATTTAATGTGTCGCAGCACTCTGATGTTGTAGGAGAAAACATTTATAAAAAAGTCTATTTAATTAAGTGGAACGAGTTGTCTATATTTATTAAAAGTTGCGCATTTTGATGTGACGTCACATTTCTCAAACCTCCCCCCCCCTTCGTCACACATCGTCACAAATGTCTGACCCCCCCCCCCCAGGTGCCAGACGTCATTGGTTAAGGGGGCTAGAGCGAGGCAGTGAAATGTCCCCGTGTGAGTGCGGCAGTGTTCCTCGCTCTGGGCGTCTGGGACACGAGGCTGGGACGCGGTGATAATCGCACCTCCAATCAGCTCGGGTGGCGACGTGCGGTGCGAAAGAAGTTCAACACGCGGGGCGTTACATATCGCGGCCGTGGCTCCCACAGTCTGTTGCCAAGTCACGTGTTGCTCGTGTCTGATTAAGGAGTCGTTTGCTGGCAGCGATTTTACACAATCAGACGCTTTAAAAGGTTTTTAAGGTTTAAAGCTTTTGTTCATAATCAACGTTTTTGGGGTTAGATCACGTTATTTATAAATGTGTCGTAACCCTCCACCACCCGACACGGCCAATCAGTAAAAAAGTGTCACGTTGACAAAAGACAAGTAGTTCACTGCTTTAGCCTACCGGTGTGTTGAAGCGTGAAACCACAACATTTACAATTTTTTTTTGTGGTTTCACGCTTCAACACACCGGTGGGCTAAAGCAGTGAACTATTTGTCTTTTGTCAACGTGACACTTTTTTACTGATTGGCCGTGTCGGGTGGTGGAGGGTTACGACACATTTATAAATAACGCGATCTAAACCCAAAAACGTTGATTATAATTAATATTGGTCGCGAAAGCCTACGTGTTAAACTTTAAAGCTTTTGTTGGTATTTTATACAAAAAAAAAATCTTATTTTGCGATAAACTAAATTTGTGTCCACTAAGGGCCGCTGTTCCATCACTCGGGGCGCTGTTTAAAATAACTTTTTGCCTCTAAAAATGCTAATTGTGCCAACAATAAATCGATTAATCAACAATTCTATATTTATTTAAAGTTGCGCATTTTGATGTGACGTTCAATTTTTCAAACCTCCCCCCCCCCTCGTCACACATCGTCACAAATGTCTGACCCCCCCCCCCTAGGTGCGTGACGTCATTTATGGACGGCCCCACAGCCAATTCGTAATGCTTGTCACGTAAACAAAACGTGCCAATTCGTAACTTGTACAGAGAGCAAATCCACAACATTTACAATCTGAGTACGACGTTTTGCCTGTAATTACAATGAGCATCATCAGGCTGACCGCCACATTTGTGACGTCCACCTGTTTCGTTTCTTAAATAGAGGGGTAGGTGTGGTGACGTCACCTGTGAGCCCTTCACGGGCAAATGGGGGGGGGGGGGTCAGATGTCACGCCTGTGACAAGGAGCCTCACTAGGTATGGTGTCACACCTGTCACCCGAATTACAAGACTCCCACCCCCGTGTGTTTTAACACATTCCTGCGGAGGGAGCTGGTAGGAACGTTGGGTTGCTCGGTCAATGGCCAGGGTCAACGACGGCGTGGTGTATTCCGCAAATATGCCCGACTGTGAGGGCGGGCACAAGCCGGCGTGAGTAGGTTAAACGTTGAGTTTTATAAGGGCACCACGGGGTGACCAGCCCCTCCCCACCCAGCCCCACCCTCCCCACCGAGCCCCTCACCACCCTCCCCACCCAGCCCCTCCCCACCCAGCCCCTCCCTCCCCACCCAGCCCCTCCCTGCACGACGGATGGACACAATAATCCTCTGTGGGCTGGTGGAACCAGTGGGTTCCTACCAGTATAATCCGGCGAATAGCGGCACGAAGGCCACATCCTTTCTGCGTGTGATGGGCCTGGGGTTGAGATCCACTTACACTGTGGTTGACATTCAGGTTCATTTCAGAGGTGCCCCTCGTCATGAGCCAGGATGTCACGAGCCCTGGGAGCTTATTGCGAGCCACTCATCTACATGCATCGTACCATTTGTTTCAAATAGTTTTTATTAACTTAAAGTGTTCTCTTCCGGAAATGACAAGCACGCAACACAACTGATCAGGGTATATGTTCCTGGCTACGGACGATAGGAATCAGGAGTTTGAAGGTACAGCAATCATCGCGAAATTACGAATTCGTTATTTATTATAATTTTAATATTCTACCATTCCCCCCGCATCTCCGGTTAGCACGGTTGGCTACGTACGGTGCGAAAGAAGTCCAACGTACATAATGCATCCAATATATGACTTCATGTCGCAGCAGTGTGAGAGAGAGATAGGCGAAGAGCACGTGAAATCTAGATTTGAAGTTTAATCTAGATTTGAAGTTTAATCTAGATTTGAAATTTAATCTAGATTTGAAGTTTTCGTGACTGCAGGGATCCATACTCTTTTGGTTCTTTCATGTGAAGTGCCTCGTATCTTTTGAACACCCTCCTCGCCATTCTCGTGCGTGTTCGGTCGCCTCTCGGATTCGTTGGTGTGACCATCACCACGAGGCATTGCAGCTCTCCGGCGTCTGGGACGCCCATCGCTTCGCGAGCGGAATGCCCGCAATGCGTCTGAACCATGGGTGGAAAAAATACAGATTTTTCCAGCGACAGGCATCGGGTTTTTTCTTTAATACAATTAAACCCGATTTCGGGCAATTAAAACCTGGTTTAATGAATACGAAACTTTGATCCAAGGCTTAGGCTGCTTCCTCGTCGGTGCTGCTATTGTACTCGGGGGGGGCCGTCGGGCACGGGGTAGTCGTAGTATGCGGCGGGCAGGTTGGTCGTGATGAACACGAGGAGCTTCTCCTCCACAATCGTGGGCACCGCCAGTGAGTTCCTTAGCTTGGAATGGATGAAGCCCATCGTTGAGAAGTGCGGTTCTGCAATTAGAACCAATTAAATCGGATTTCTCCCAGTCTCAGATGATCGGGTTTAATATAAAAAGACAATGAAACCCGATTGTAAAAAACCCGACTGTGCCACCCTTGGTCTGAACTCGGCAGCCAGGCAGCCTTGAGCCTGGAGAGTCGTGCTTGGAGAGGCGAGCACACGTTGCAGCACACATGCAAGGTTGTCGCAGAGGGACAACGTCGCTGGCAGGGGGCAGTGTGTAGCAGTAAATCCGTTGTGCTGTACTTTCTGTGCTCCCCCCCCTCTCTCTGCCCCCCCACGTCCATCACCACTGCTCCCTCCACCGATCAATGTGGTGAAGTATGGTCAAATAAACCTGCACGAGACGCAGGGCAGTGATGAGATTCTCTCGCCCAGCAGCGGATACGCACGTACTTTGAACTTCTTTCGCACCGTACGTAGCCAACGGCGCTAATCGGGGCGCACACAACAACAACAAAAGCAACTCGTCTAAAGAAATGAGTGTTTCAATCTAGATTTAAAAGTGCATAGCTCCCAAGTGGCTTCCTAATATCGCGAACGAAAGGGTTTGTCTTGGACGTCACTCGGGGGCGTTTGCGTGCGCGTTCGAGACACGGCGGTGTGCGTGCCGACCGCGACGCCCCTGGGGGTGCGCCGAGCGAGCGCTGTTGGATTTGCGGTGGCGGTCGCAGCGAGCGAGGGAGTCGGAGCGGAGCGGCTTCCCCCGCACGGATTTGGGCTCGGCGCATTTCCCCCCGTGCCGGATGCGCCGAATCTCGAGCCACCTGCACGACACCACAAGGAGATGGGGGGAGAGGCAATATTGTGTACAAACTCATTCATACGCGTTGCTGTGGAGCATCGTGTCAATGGCTTGCAAGCGCGTCCTTGCAAGCCATGGCAGGAGACGCGGATGCCTGATGCGCAAATCGACAATTTGAAAACTCCCCATTAGCAGTGGACGACTGTGGTCGTGCAGAACAGACCGTGCAGCGGATGCCGAGCCAATGCCCGATCCACAACTACGAAGGAGGCATCACGGCGCCACACTGCGCCTGGGCTTGGCCACGTGCACGTGACATTGCGGTTGTCGCTCTGCGTCGACGTCAAATAACACGCTCGCTGTATCGCGAGTTGACAAGGGAATAGACACGCGCAAAGACACGGACAGACACACGCGTCTCGTGGTCACCGCTGAAGGGGCATCAGGCTGCAGTCGCAAGCCCAGGGGTTCCCGTGCAGGTGCAGGACCCGCAGACTCGTCAGGGACGAGTAGGGCAGCTGCAGCGAGCGCAGTTTGTTGTGCCGCAGGTCCAGGGAGCGCAACGTCGGGCTCAGGCCCCGTAGAGACTGCGCGTGCACCTGGAGGGGAGACAGCACGAGGGGGGCGACACGAGCCGCGTGATGATGGGTGGGTGGCACGCTGGCTAGGAGATGTTCACTACCTCGCCTGGTGCACAGGAGGTCGTGGGTTTGATTCCGACCCTGACGCCTGCTGCTGTATATTTGAAGTTTGCGTGTCTCTCTTTCTCTCTCTCATCATCACGGTGGCTTGGAGATGTTAACTACCTCGCCTGGTGCACAGGAGGTCGTGGGTTCGTCCCCGACCCTGGCGCCAGCTGTATATTTTGAGTTTGCGGTGTCTCTCTCTCCGTGGTCACGAGGATTTTTCTCCAGATCCTCCTATTTTTCTCCTCCACATATATAAACACGTGTTTAGAATATTTGGCTGCTATAAATTTCCATGCGATAAGCCACTTCGTTGAGCTATCATTTGTGACCAGGTCGCTTCTGAAAAAATTGTTACATAACTCAGTGGGCTGTATCTAGCAAAATAAAAAAAAAATCTAGTTTGGTTTGCAATGCCTCGTGTCATAGACCAGAGTGGTCTGGCAGTGTTCTGACAGCTCGTGTCAGACAATTGCGGCGTGGCGATCTTATCTCCCTGTATTTTGTATTACTTGGAGTCCACTGGGTTCAGAGCAGACGTCGATACCAGCTAAGGCAGAAAAACTTTAGTACGACCGATTTAAATTTTTTTTACGGCTAATGCGAGTGAACTATATTGACGATCCACTCCGTTGAAATGGTTATCGCATAATTCGCCGTTGTTCGTCACGGAGAGAGCGGTGGTTCTCAACCGGGGGACGTGGCGATGCCCCAGGGGGATATAACGTGCGACGATTTGTAAAAGTGTAAAATGATATCGTGCGCGTGAGTCATTGGTGAATAATCACGTATGAATCCGCCAATATAAAATAACTACGATACAATTTAAGTCCATATGGTAACCCAGAACGACATTAAGGACCTTTCTAAACGCTTTGATGGTAAACAGCGCGGATTTCCAACAGTAGCCAGCGAGCGTGAACACATTCACTTCGCACGCGCACAGAGGCCGTGGCATTTTTGTTTTATTCGCTTGCAGTGACTTGGCTAGCTAGGTGACCTCACAAAATGCACAATTAGTGAAAAAAACATCGATGTTAATTATTCACACGTGCATTTCTCACAACCAAGTTGGGTCAGGCAAGGTGGTGGGGGGGGGGGGGGTTACTCGGTTGAAACAAAATTTCAAAAGGATGGTGGGGGGGGGGGGTCACACAGTCGCCAAAGAACGACTGAGAATCACAAACATCGAGAGAGGTGGAAACCCCACGACAGCGATTGGGGGTCATCTGCTCGGATTGTCCGTCTGCGTATGTGCTGTGCACGTGACGTGAAAAGGCATTGCATTGGTGAAAGCAGAGTTCACGTAAAAGGCAAAAGTGCGGCCCTACACCTACGAGCTCACGTGGCCACGCTGGCAGAAGGGCCTCCTCACTCGAGGGCATTGCGGCCTACGCTTCCACGCTGGCCAGAAGGTCGAGGGAACGATTGGAGTACCCACACTTTACCCCACCATGCGCGACTTTCCAATGGACTCTGGCGACAGAGGCGAATTGATTTAAGCAACTTGCCTCATTGCTTCAATTGCCGTGCGGGCAAATCGAGGCGGCTACCAAGCACCGAACGATGAACACGTACGTGCAATGTGTAATCAACACGATGCAGAGGACATGCCCTCACCTTCTGCAGATCCGTGTAGCCGATCCACAGGTGTTGGAGGAACCTGGGCCCCTTCGCGAAAGCGTCCGGGGCGATGGATTTGATGGGGTTATAGGAGAGGTCAAGTTTCTTGAGGTTGGGCGCGTTCTGCAAGCATCGCGTTGGTACGTGGGCGAGCTTGTTCTTGTCCAGGGAGAGCGTCTCGATCTCAGGGGTCGAGGAAAAGGTCGCGGCTGGAAGCGACGAGACGTTATTGCTCGTCAAATTCAGACCGCGCAATTTGCGCGCCCCGTCGAAGGCCTTTTCGTCCACGAGATGGATTCCATTGTAGCCCAAATTGAGGGAATTCAGATTGTCCAGAGGTTTAAACATGCACGCACTCAGGACGGTGAGCAAATTATGGTCCAAGTATAGGTACGTGAGCGAGCTGAGGCCATTAAAGACGTAGTTTTTCAAGTGAGAAATGCTGTTATTCGACAAATATAGATAAATCAGCTTGCCCAAACCGTAAAATGCATCTTTACCAAAGTCGTTGATTCGATTGTTTTGCAAATGCAGCGAGAAGAGGTTATTGGCCGTGGAAAACGCCTTCTTGGGAACGACAGACACCTGGTTGTCCTGCAGGTCCAAAAGCCAGGTGTACCCTGGGATGTTCCCAGGGACCGCCGTGAGGGCCCTGCTCTTGCAGGCCACGTGATGGACTTCTGGCCTGCAGTTGCAGCGTTTCGGGCAGCCTTTGGGTTCGCGCGGCGGCGCGCCGGGCCTCGGGGACCGCTGCCCGCTCTCGCACTTGAGCTGATCGGGCTGCAGGTCGGTGAGTGGCCTGAGATAGACCCCGACGGGGGTGGCGCAGGTGCCGCTAAACGACAGATTGGCGGCGTTGGCACGCAGCCACTCGCGGAAGTCGCGCAGGTAGCAGTCGCATTGCAGGGGGCTGCCGTGCAGGGACAGCTGCCTGAGCCGCGTGAGGGAGGTCATGGGGTGGACGACCTTGAGCTGACTACGCCGGAGATGGAGCCAGAGCAGGCCGGGAGACGCGTCGAACGCGCCGGGCGCCACGTTCTGCAGGGCGGTGTCGTCCGCGCGGAGACGCTGCAGGGCCGGCGTGCGAAACGCGGAGTCGCCGAGGAACGTCAGCGGGTTCTCGCTCAGGTCCATCGCGACCACTCGCCGCAGCTTCGCCAGCGCCTCCTCGGGGACGAACTGCAGGCGGTTCCCGTCGATGTCGAGACGCCGCAGAGACGAGAGAGCCGCGAAGACGTCGTCGCCGAGGCTGCTGAGCGCGTTGTTGGATAGCCGCAAATTCTCGAGCCACTTGAGGCCCCGCAGCGCCCCGTCCGGCAGGTAGGTCAGCCGGTTCCCCGTCAGGTTCAGCAGCCTCAGCCGCTGCAACGAGGAGAATGCCCCAGCTTTGATCTCAAGGAGCCGGTTGTTGTGCAGCAGCAACGTCTTGAGCGTCGTCAGCCCAGCGAAAGCCCCGGGATGCAGAATCTGAATGTCGTTGTTGCTCAGATCGAGCGCTGCCAGGTGGCTCATTCCTCGAAACACGCCGCTGCCGACGTCTCGGACGCCGCAGTCCCGCAGCTGGAGATCCTCCAGGCGCGGCACGCGAACAAAGGAGTGCGCCGAGAGAACGGCGATGCTGTTGCCGTTGAGATGCAGCGTCCGCGTGCGCGGTGGCAGCCCGCGCGGCACGCTCGTCAGCCGCTTGGAGATACATCCGACGTCGCGCTTGAGGCTGTCGCACTGGCAGCTGGAGGGGACACGCCTGGGTCTGGTGCTTGACGGCAAACGCCGCGAAGGAATACATGAAAATATGAATCATGCTTCGCTGTGCCAAGACCATCTTGCGCAAAGCCGTTAAGCGTACCATGGGATGTTAAGGCATATCAACGTTTTTGAATGGAGCGCATCTTCAACTCGGATTTAAAGGTGGGCTGCTCGGGGGAGAAACAACGTTTGTTTGGCTCTCGTGTCGGGCAACTTGCAGCTTCGCCGCAACTTGACAGCTTTGGCTGAAATTGAACCGTACCCAGATCGCGATTCAACGCGCGGTCTGTGCACATCTTCTTCCAAGAAAGCCCGAACGCGCTCCAAATTCAACATGCTCCTCAAAAGAATGTCAAGTGCAAATGCCGGTTTCTCCATCTGCGTGTGACGCCGCGCCTAATGAATGAAGACCTTTAAAAAAATACGTTTATAAAAATACATATTTTATAATCGTCGATTCTGGCATTGTTTTGTACCACGTTGATAGGCTAAATGCATTTATATTTGTACAAGAGTTGATGAAGTCATGCATATTCTTATTGCACACTTGTGTTGACGGTAACCTCGGGAAAGTGATGTTCACACGATTTCTTGGAAATAGTGACGCAGTTCCCAGTCTCGTGACATTTACATTGTATAAGGTCACGTGCTGGAAAGTACCAACATTTTTTGGCAAAAATATGCCGATCTCTCATGATCATCATCATAATTCATCGGGACCTCAAGAATGCCCCTCGTCATCGCTTGAAGTCACGCGAGCCCCTTCTGGACCCATGCACTCAACCTTGAACGGTGCGAATTGAACCCCGACGAAGCTTGCAGAGCTGAATGGAGTTCAAAAGAGTTCGCAAAGTAAACACCACTTTATTCTTTGGTTCTTTCGGTAAAGTCGCGTAGAAAGAAAATAAATAATAATAATAGAATACGACGTTTCGATTGCAACACAAACAACCGTCATCAGGTGTGAATGAATGCAAGCTCGGAGAGACACATATACAGAGATAGAGACACGCACAGACACGGAGAGAGACACATACACAGAGAGAGACACACACACACAGACACGGAGAGAGACACATACACAGAGAGAGACACACACACACAGACACGGAGAGAGACACATACACAGAGAGAGACACACAGAGAGAGAGAGAGACACACACACACAGACACGGAGAGAGACACATACAGAGAGAGAGAGACACACACAGACACGGAGAGAGACACATACAGAGAGAGAGAGACACACACACAGACACGGAGAGAGACACATACACAGAGAGAGAGAGACAAACAGACACGGAGAGAGACACATACACAGAGAGAGAGACACACAGAGACACACAGACACGGAGAGAGACACATACACACCCAGAGAGAGAGAGAGAGAGACACACAGAGAGAGAGTCAAACAAACATTAGCATAGTGTCATGTTAATGGTCTCAACACCAGGAATTTGTATGTACGTATGTATGTTGAACTTCTTTCGCACCGTACGTAGTAGACCGTGATGAATGGAGATGCGGGGTAAGGACAACAAACCAAACATAAAAATCAGTTTTAAACAAATGAGTTTTCAATTCCGATTTTTTTTAAGTTGCATAGCTCCAGTGGCGTCCTAATATGGTGAGGAAGAGCGTTCCAGACGGCCGCAGAAGCACATCCGAAGCGCGCGATGCGGTGACCCGTCCTTTGTTCGACGTTGGCCAGCCAAAAGCTGCTGCTGCGAGAATGACCACCGGAGTCCGCGTGATGATGGTTTATGCTCCTTGACGAGACCAGCGAAGGTATTGGTAGTTCATTTGTGGCGAGCAATGTGTGGAATGAGTGCGCTTCAAAGATGTTACTTTTCCACTTAAATCACAAGTTGCTGCTAAACTGTCGAATCCGTACAACTTCAATCGCAAATCGACATGCGTCCGTGTCTGTTAACACACCGGTGGAATAACGAAGCTAAATCCATTTGAATGTTTCTGTAACGTAATTTTACCCTGAACGGTTTCCAAACAGCGAATTGTCCGAGCCAACTTTCATCGCAGTGCATCTATTGTATTTAATATAAATTTATGTTCGTGCAGTATATTCATTTTCTTCTGTAACACGGTCATTTTTTTGTAACTACATGTTTTTGTTGTTGTTGTTGTTGTTTCTTTGAGTTGTTATATATTTGCTTCGCTGTTGCACACGAGCAGTGCCACAATAGAGATAAATGCTGTCGCCCCGGGCTGATGCCGGGTGGCCGGGGTCACGTGAGGTAAGGGGGGGGGAGGGGTGAGCGATTATGGGGGGGGGGGGAGGGGATCCCCCAAACCACCCCCCCAATATCTGCAAGCCAAGGCGCTGTGGTGCAACAAAAGCTGACTGCTGATATTAGCCAATAAAATCAAGGGAATCGCCGATCTTGCTGATATTAGCCAATCAAATGAAGGGAATCACTGATCTTGCTGATAATAGCCAATCAAATGAAGGGAATCGCCGATCTTGCTGAAATTAGCCAATCAAATAATAAGGAATCGTCCGATCTTGCTGAAATTAGCCAATAAAATCAAGGGAATCGCCGATCTTGCTGATATTAGCCAATCAAATGAAGGGAATCGCCGATCTTGCTGATATTAGCCAATCAAATGAAGGGAATCACTGATCTTGCTGATATTAGCTAATCAAATGAAGGGAATCGCCGATCTTGCTGAAATTAGCCAATCAAATGATAGGGAATCGCCGATCTTGCTGATATTAGCCAATAAAATTAAGGGGGGCGTGCCACATTGAACAAACTACTATAAAAAACTGTTGTTTTGTATCTGTTAAATCGTACACTTTTCAAGGATGGCCATCCAATCGACTTTGAGCTAGGGTGGTGCCGGATCGACTGAGCGCAATCTATAACAATCAGTCGCGAGTCACGATCCACAACCACCACGTGTCGGGGGGCAAATCTCTGATCGGTGATTTCGTCGGGTGTACGATTTCATCGCATTGCATCGCCAACCACGGAGTCTGCCCTTGACCAGGGGGCAGGGGCCTCGAGTTGGCCACCAAGGGGCACGCCGCTTGCCGCGGGTTGAGAGGAGGAGGGGGAGGAGTTATTCGACGGGGTCGTGCGTGATTGGTGGAGAGCGAGGTCAACGAAAACAGTCAGGGGCTTACGTAACGATGTTACGGGGCTCTGATTGGAGGGCGCTGCACGAGGTCGAGTGGATTGACAGAGGCTGCGAGGGCGTGCGACCACATTTGTGTATCGAAGTGATGGCTACCCGTGTACAAAAAAGGGGGGAACCCAGGTGGTCGACGTTTGCCAGAGCCGAGGGGGTCTCCCACGGGGGGTCCGGCTACTGCGGGGTGCTGATGCCGTACGGGCGAGTCGGTGGCCGAGGCTGCGGCGAGTTGCTCGGAGCGCTTCGTCGAGACAGCGTAAACCAGGTCCTAAGACTTGTGTGCGAACGGTCGGCGCCGTTTTCTGCACCAGGATCCGTTTAGTCGCAGAGTTGTTCCGCGATTGTCGCTTCTTGGGGGTGCTGTGGTAAGCCGGTGAACTAGGAGGGTCATACACAAGTCTGTGCTGTTGCTGTCACCCGAGAGTTGAGATGATAAGTTGGTTGTACTGGGTTGTCAAGAAATTGTTTTCCGGACAAAGTTGGTTCGCGTTCTTGTGCGGTGTCAATAGTGCATGACAAATCAACGGCATAGTTCATAGATTCAAAATCGTGTTAAGATGCACTGCATTCGAGTAATTGTCCTTTCTGTTGCTGTTATAGAAAGAGGGAATTGCATGGCAGAGAAAATGTATCCATACTCCTCTTTCTCCCCATACATAAAAAAATCACAAGAACGCGATTGCTTTTTGTTAGATTACTTTCGCTTAAGTACATGTCGTTTTACCCAGGAGATAACTCAAGAGGCCAGGATAACACCTCATTTGCAACAATGACAAATGCAACAACATAAATTCTCAGCACAAGCAAGGCGACTCTTCAGAGGACACCAACCCTCGCGGTCTCTTGAGTCACTAACTCATCTCGTTCAACAAAATGAACGTGGATGTTGAAGAAGTTCTCATCGGTGGTGATTAAAGCCGTGGGACATCATGATGATGGGCCAAGCACGTGACCAATCACGTGCATTGCACTTCAAGGGGACCATATGTCAAAGCAACAAAAGCAAATTATTTATTTTATTTTATTACCAAAACAGGTTCCATGCAATACATAACCCAGCAATGCTTATATTAAAGAGACTTAAGAATACTCACTCCCCCCAGTACCAAAACACAATATTAGGCAGATAAACATGTATGTATATATATATATTTCAACTCTCCCCCCCCCCCCCCCATTAAACAGTCATGTAAACCCATCATCAAGATACAAAATACTACACGGGATTCTCATTCCACTTAGTTGCACCGAAATGCAATACCTATGCCTGCCAGAAATAACCATGTGCTTGATAGTTGAAGACGCGTCAAACATGTACACAGCAGAGCCCATGTTCAAAGTGTAAGAGCATTCAGCAAACTAGGAGTACAGTCATGTAATAAACACAAGTACACATCATGCATTAAACAACTTTACAAAAAAAAACCCTATAGCAAGTACCATCATAAAAACTCATCACCACCAAGCTGGCATTTTACATCGTATGTAGAGGCGTTCATCCAGCAGTGGATTTACCAGGGCCATCATTGCCGCTGCTGCTGCCAATGATGATGACGACGAAGCCAGCGTGAGAATAGCAAATCTCCGCTCCAGACACCACCCCCTGATTGGCATTAACACAGCGCGTTTGTCGTGATGGCGGCAGCAGCCTTCTCTGATCGCGTCACTGGGCGTTGTCGTGGTGACAGCAGTCGTCACTGGGCGTTGTCGTGGTGACAGCGGCCATTACCGGGTGTTCAAGGCGGGTTTGCCTTCAAGACCACGTGCGCGATTTATTGCAAAGGCTTAGAGATGAGTTCGCACTGCATTTTGGATTTACGTTAAGTGAACGTCACGTGCCTTTTGTGACGTGAAACTTGTTCACACCGCCACGGTTGAATCTAACGGGTAGGGAGGGTCAAGTGGCGACACGTGGCGTCCGACTAAACACCCAACGTTGGTCCAACGTTGCGTGTTTACCGGGGGTGTGACAACGACCGCGTCGAAGAGTATTTTTGGCCTCACCACCTTTGCTCCACCCGAACTCTGGTTGGCTGCCAATTCACTTAACGTGTCTCTTAACTTGCTAAAGTTTCAACCCAGTGAATATGGCGGTCACGATAACCTTAACACCCTCTGTTGCGTCACAAACGATAATTACGTTACGTTACATGCGTCACGTGATCCAGTCTAAACCGCGTTAAGCCAATGTGCATGTGTCATAGCCAGTACCCAAAAAGTAAATGTCACCTGTAACTATAAATTATAAACAACAATTGCCACTTTGTCATATGGCTTTCGATTTATTCTTTGCAAAAGTGAGTATGCATTGGTATACAATACATCAGAGGATCTCACTAAGTTGTGCCAAGGAAATCGATATATCTTTTATCTAGCCTTTTACAAGAATTATTCAGTAGATACGGAACCCTTGGTCCAACCACGTGTCAACGTTGCCCCAACCTTGCATGTTTGCTTGGGATGTAGCATGATCAATTGCAAATACTGTATACCCGGATGTACTGAGAGTGTGTAATGTGAACGTGTGTGACTGGAAGATATTCAAATTAGTTTTGGAACCCAAAGTTATTTGAAATAAACGTGCTGGTGCATTTTTTAAAAGGAAAATAATTACGAATTGTGAAATAGGCAATTCCCTCTTGAGCCCAGTTATTTTAACTTGCTTAATAATTACCTTGTGCATATTGTACAGACATATCAAGCCAGCATTTGATAACATTTTGATGAGATTTTAAATCAACAAAGCCCTGCAGTGTAGCAATAAGAGCGAGGAGAGCAGTAAAACCTTCCGCTGTTGCGTGTAATAAATGCAAATATGATTCTTGGATTCGACCGATTTTTTTTATGCTACACTCGCATGTCTGTAAATAGTTAAAGGTTTTTTAAAATTTAAAGCTAAAGAAAAATGTAAGAAGTGTGAAAAAGTGAACTCTTGAAAAGTGTCCAGTTTCACTAAGTGTAAATGAGCTACGTGAACACCTGACAGAAATTCCGGGTTACGAGCTGCGCTCGTCACCCGAATAATTAAATTGGGTCCTACGGGAACTTAGGACAATAATGGGAAAGGAAATGTTTTGTGTGAGCTTGTGTCTATTGGCAATGGATGTGAATGAGCATGTCCTATCATCGCTGCAGAGTTGTAGCAGAGCTCCCTTTTAGCGTGTAAACCTGGACGAGCCCCCGGAGCTCTTTGAAGACACCTTGAGAAGAGGCAACCCTGTAGAGCTCTCCACCTTGCACTGGTTCAACGCCTCCTTGTAGGTGAGCCGCTTCTTGGAAATGGGGTCCGTGATGTCTTTCGGGTGGCTTTTGTCATCCTCCAGTGCCCGCTTGGCTTCGTTGTCGATTATGCCCAGAGCCAGGGCCTCTCCCACGGGCACGCGGCCGGCCTTGTTGGGGTCTACCAGTCCCCCCGTGAGGAACTGCGCCTCCAGGTACTTGTAGGCTGCGTCTTGATACAGCCAGCCCCTCTTGAGCGCAATGCCCACGGGAAGCCGCTCCTTTGTTGTCGGATCTTCGATTCCGGTGTACGCCTTCTGCGCACCGAGAAGTCGCTGAACGGAGCTGCTGTCGATCAAATTCATGTCTGCAGCCTTGTGCACCGAGTACTTCTCGCCGTTGACCACGTCGATGATGCCCCCGGTCGCGGCCTGTGCTTCCAGCAACTTTTGCGCCGTTATCGGATCGATGAGGTTCTTGCTGATGGCCGTTTTTATCTGCATCTTTTGGTTAGTGTCCACGTCGAACACGCCGGCGATAGGCGGCGTCTCGAGGTCCAGGACGGTGGAATCCTTGCTTTGGGCGGACTCCCTTGGCAAGGAGCTGCTCACCTGGGAGGAATTTGTTTTCTTTACACCCTCTTCTTTTTCAGGCTGAGGCTTAAAGGTTTGGCCCGACACCTTAGCAGCGAACTCGGCAATGGTCATCTTTCTGTTCTTGTACTGCTGCACGTCGTGTTGCGTGACCTTCCCACTCGCCAGGGCGTCTTCAATGGAGAACTTTGTTCCCGTTTTCTTGTCCCGCAGAGAGGATGATATCCCTTTTGGCCCGGACACGCTCACTTCTTCCCAGTCGCACTCCTGCCCTGCCAGCTGACTGTACGTCTTCCAGTCAATGAGGTCGAGTTTGTAAGCTTCGTACGGAGTCATTTCTTTTCCAGTCTCAGGATCCATGACGACGATCTTACGGCTCAGATGAGACTGCGTCTTTTCCGTTGAAGTCCTCGTCACCTCCGGTTGTCTGTTCTCCAATCTGCTAAGCTTGTCACGCAGCGCCACTATCTCGCCCTCTTTGCTGTTTATGACCTTATCGGTGTCCGTAAGTTTTCTCTTCAGCTTTTCGATCTCCGACTGGACATCTGATATAACCTCCGACTGTTTCTGCAACTCCCTCTCCTTGTTTCTCCGCATTCTCAACTCATCGTCAAGCTGGCCGCGAAGTTTCTCCAGTTCGCTGTCGACCATCTTGTCTTTCTCTATCTTTACCACTTCTTTATAAACAATCTTTTCCTTGGTGGCCTCAATTTCAAGATCGTGCATTCTCGCCTTCATTCGATCCACCTCATCCTCAAGCCTATTGCGCTTTGAGCGCTCGTCGTTCAGTTGAGATCTTAGAAGTACCGCTTCTTTCATTACCTCGGGATCTTGCTCCACTTTCACAACCTCTTTGTAAACCACTTTCTCTTCCACTTTACTTTTCTGCTGCTCCAGAGTTGTCATTCTATTCTTCGTGCGCCTCAGTTCCTGCTCAAGCTCATTCTTTTCCTGTGAGTCCGTTCTCAGTTGCGTGATCAGTTGCTTCTGTTCAGATACCGTGCTGCGAAGCTGTCCCAAATCTTCTTCCAATGATTGCTGCCGTTTCTTCTCTTGATTCAAAGATTTTTTTAGCGAGTCAACTTCACGTTCCAGATTGGGGTCTGTTTTGTACTGGATGGACTCTTGGATAACAACCTTTTCTTCAATCTTCGGGGGCTGGTTTTCCAAGTTGAAGATTCTGTTTTGAAGTTTTGTTAGCTGCAGCTCAGCATCAGTTCTCTTTTGCATTTCCCTGTCAAGCTCCTTTTTCATGCGTGTCACCTCTTCTTCCGCCGCTGGATTCTTCTCAAACTTAACAGTCTCCTTAAGGACTTCCTTCACTTGAATTTCAGGCTTTCTGTTCTGCAACGTTTTGACTTCTTCACGAAGTTTCAGGGCTTCTCGTTCGGCATTTGACAGTTGACCTTTAATCTGCATCATCTGCAACCGAAGTTCCGAGGCTTCCTTCTCGGTCTCTGGGTCAGGACGCACGACTTCACGCAACACTTCCTGGATTTCCACCTTTGGTTTTTCTTTCTCCAGAATGGTATACTGTCTCCGGACACTGACCAGATCCCTCTGAGCATCCCTGTTCTTTTCTATTTCCTCCTCGTACATGCGCTTCAATTGCTTCAGCTCTCTTTCCAGCTCTGGATCTTTCTCCAATTTGACGACCTCTTTGATCTGCACGTCGGGCTTGCGATTGCGAAGCGAGTTCAGCTCTATCCTCAGCGTGTTGAGCTCGCCCATCACCGTATCATATCTCTCTTTCTCGGCCGTCAATTTCCGCTTCAAATCGACTGCCTGTCGCTCCGTCTCAGGATCTGCCTTCACCACCTCCCTGACTACTTCTTTGATCTCCACCTTAGGCTTCGTGTTTTCAAGTTTAGTGAGCGATTCTTTGAGGTAGTGGATTTCATCTTCAAACTTCCTGTTTCTACGAGATTCTTCATCCAGAGACTTTGTGAGCTTGTTGATCTCCTTGTCTTGCTCCGGGTCTCGCTGTACCTTTACGACCTCCTTGATTTGCACATCTGGCTTGCGATTGCGTAGCTCATTCAGGTCTGTGCGTAGGGAGGCCAATTCTCTCTCCGAATCCTTAAGTTTACGCTTCTCTTGTTCCAGCTGCCGTTTATACTCGGCCGCCTCCTTCTCAGTCTGTGGATCTGCCTTGAGGATTTCATGGACAACTTCTTTGATTTCCACTTTGGGCTTCCGATTCTCAAGCATTAGGATTTTTTGCTGAAGCGAATCATTTTCCTCTTCTGCCATGCTCTTTTTCTTTCTCTCGTTTTCCAACGTGTTCTTTAGTTTGACGATTTCTCTTTCCTGTTCAGGGTCTCGTTCGACTTTGACCACCTCCTTCACTTGAACCTCGGGCTTCTTGTTTTTGAGGGCCTCAAGCTCTCGCCGAAGCGTGCTCAGTTCTCTCTCCGCTTTGTCGGAGGCGCGCTTCTCGTCCGCCAGCTGTCGCCTCAGCTCAGCCGCTTGCCTCTCTGTCTCAGGGTCTGCTCTCACCACCTCCTTCGTGATCTCTTTTATCTCCACTTTAGGCTTGGTGTTTTCCAGAGTTGTGTACTTTTGCTGCATGAGGTTAATTTCCTTTTGTGAAACTTGATTTCTTTGTATTTCATCTTCCAATTTCCTTTTCAAGTTTACCAGATCTTGCTCCGTTTGCGGATCTTTCTCCACTTTCGTTACCTCTTTTATAACAATGCGCTCCTCTACCTTAGGAGGTGCCTGTTCCACCTCTTTAATCCTCCTTTCAATGAGCACATACTTCTTTTCTGTAGCCTTTCTTGACTCAACCTCATCTTCCAGCTGCTGCTTGACTTTATTAAGTTCTCGGACCACCTCGGGATCTTTCTCTACTTTGATGACCTCCTTTACCTGCACCTCAGGCTTGCGGTTTCTCAGGGCCTCGACATCTATTCTGAGAGTGTTGAGCTCTCGGTCTGCTTTTTCAGACTTCCGCTTTTCTTCGGCCAGCTGTTTCTTCAAATCAGCTGCCTGCCTTCTCTGTCTCTGGATCTGCTCTGACCACCTCCTTGATGACTTCTTTGATCTCCACTTTAGGTTTGGTGTTTTCAAGGGTAACAAATTTGTGTTGAATTGTCTGGATTTCTTCCTGAGATATTTTTGATCTTTGAATCTCCTGCTGTAGCTGTTTCCTAAGGCTGACGACCTCTTCTTCCAGTTTTGGGTCTCTTTCCACCTTCGCGACCTCCTTAATGACGAGTCGTTCTTCTATCTTTGGAGGCGCCTGTTCCACCTCTTTAATCCTCCTTTCAATGAGCACATACTTCTTTTCTGTAGCCTTTCTTGACTCAACCTCATCTTCCAGCTGCTGCTTGACTTTATTCAGTTCTCGGACCACCTCGGGATCTTTCTCTACCTTGACTGACCTCCTTTACCTGCACCTCAGGCTTGCGGTTTCTCAAGGCCTCGACATCAATTCTGAGAGTGTTGAGCTCTCGGTCTGCTTTTTCAGACTTGCGCTTCTCTTCGGCCAGCTGTTTCTTCAAATCAGCTGCCTGTCTCTCTGTCTCTGGATCTGCTCTGACCACCTCCTTGATGACTTCTTTGATCTCCACTTTAGGTTTGGTGTTTTCAAGGGTGACAAATTTGTGCTGAATTGTCTGAATCTCTTCTTGGGATATTTTTGATCTTTGAATCTCCTGCTGTAGCTGTTTCCTGAGGCTGACGACCTCTTCTTCCAGTTTTGGGTCTCTTTCCACCTTCGCGACCTCCTTAATGACGAGTCGTTCTTCTATCTTAGGAGGTGCCTGTTCCACCTCTTTAATCCTCCTTTCAATGAGCACATACTTCTTTTCTGTAGCCTTTCTTGACTCAATCTCGTCTTCCAGCTGCTGCTTGACTTTATTAAGTTCTCGGACCACCTCGGGATCTTTCTCTACCTTGACGACCTCCTTTACCTGCACCTCAGGCTTGCGGTTTCTCAAGGCCTCGACATCTATTCTGAGAGCGTCGAGCTCTCGGTCTGCTTTTTCAGACTTGCGCTTTTCTTCGGCCAGCTGTTTCTTCAAATCAGCTGCCTGCCGTTCTGTCTCTGGATCTGCTCTCACCACCTCCTTCGTGATCTCTTTGATCTCCACTTTTGGCTTGGTGTTTTCCAGTGTGGTGTATTTTTGTTGAAGCATCAGAATTTCTTTCTTGGAAACTTTGTTCTTCTCAAATTCTTCATCCAGCATTTGCTTCAAGTTTGCGAGTTCCTTTGTGGTCTGGGGATCAGTCTCAACTTTAAAAACTTCCTTTATAATTGCCTTTTCTTCAACTACAGGTGGCTTCTCTTCAAAATTTTTAATTTTATTTTCTAGCATGTAAACTCTCTTTTCTGCAGATGTCTTCTTACTTATTTCTTCTTCCAGCTGCTGCTGAACAGCACTGAGGTTCCTCATCAGTTCAGGATCCTTCTCCAGCTTCACCACCTCCTTGACCTGGACTTCTGGTTTGCGGTTCTGGATCGTCATGAGATCTGTCCGAAGAGTACCCATCTCCTTGTTCATCTGTTCATTTTTCTGCCTCTCAATTTCCAGCTGTCTCTTCAAGTCCGCTGCCTGCCTCTCAGTGTTGGGATCTGCCTTCACAACTTCTTTTACGACTTCTTTAACCTCTACTCTGGGCTTGGTGTTTTCCAGTGTGGAGTATCTTTGCCTCAGCAATCGAAGTTCTTCCTCCGCTGCCTTATTTTTTGCGGTTTCCTGCTCCAACATTCTACGTGCCTCTTCCAAGTCTTTTAGTAGAAGGGGATCTTGTTGAATTCTCGGCACTTCCTTGATAGTCACTTGCTTCTCAACCCTTGGCCCTTGCTGTTCTATCTCCTTGATTCTCCTTTCGTACATTACGATGGACTTCTCAGCAGTTGCACTTTTGTTTTGCTCTTCTTCGATCTGCCTGGTCATGTTTTGCATCTGAATACGGAGGTCATTAACTTCCCTCTCCTTTGACGGATCCTTCTCCACCTTCGAAACCTCCTTGATGATGACCTTCTGCTCCGCCTCCTGCGCCGCCCGTTCCGACTTCTGAAGTCGGTCCCTCAAGAGGCGCAGCTCCTCGTCCTTTTCCCGCTTGTTCTCGGCCTCCTGTTGGAGCTGCTGGCGCAAGAGGATTGCCTCTTGCTCCGTAGCGGGGTCTTTTACTGGCGTCGCCGCTTTCTGTTGTGCGACGTCCAGCTGCCTTTTGAGCGACTCCATGTCCTTTTCTAGCATCAGCCTCTTCTTCTTTTCTTCCTCCATCAACTCCAAGTCACGTTTGCTTGGGCCCGAATATTCGGACTTCTGCAGGTTCTGTTGGGACATCCTCGCCTGCACCTCCTGCACTGGAGGGTTCTGTTGAAGAAAGAAAAAACCCAGAGAGAGAATGAGGCAAGGGTTGAACGAGAGCATAATAAGAGAGATTAAGTATATTCCAAATGATGTGCTCTCATAGAATTGCCAATGTTCAAAAGTAAATTCGTCGTCAGCCTGAAAAATATCTTATGGAAATTCTCATGGCTGGAAGAAAAAAAATCTCTCCTCGTGCAATGTTGGCAATGGGGGGTTGGTTGACCATATTAATGTGAGCCATGACTGGGAATCAAACTCAGGTAGCCAGGTTCGTCGCGAATCCAGAGTTCACGCATTTGAGCAGTCATCGGTGAATGAGACGAGATCTCAAGTTTCCTTGCCGGATTATTGGAAACTACCCAATGCCAGTGTGGCATGGCAAGACACACATTCACGAAACTTCATTCACCATCAAATGCAACCAATATATTTATAATTGCTTACAATTACACGTTAGGAAATGAACAATATCTGCATGCAACCTCACCTTCACGATGTTCTGCATGTTTTGCAGATAGACGATCTGTTGCTGATTTGCAGCAGAAACTTCAGCAAATTTCTTGACGAGTTGTCTCTCCTAAAAAAACAAGAGAGGAAATTTCAATTTGCAATCTTGAATACGCGTATTTTAATTTAGAATTTTTATCTATGCTACGCAACATCTATTTTCTAGTGCTTTATGTTTGATTGATATTATTTAAACTAGTTCATTAATAATATATCAACTTAAGAGAGTTGACTTTTTTTGGAACAATGCTATATTTGCCAGATGTGATTTTGCTTATTAGAACCAGGGGTGTGATGGATGCACTATCATCGCAAGTAGCTGACATTTTAATGATTCAGGGCCACGCTTCAATTAGAGATTAAATTATTATTTTCAATTTTGATTTGAAGCTTTCATGACTGCAGGAATCCATACTCTTTGGTTCTTTCGCTAAAGTCACGTAGGTCGAAAAATAACATAAAATAAATAATATTTTAAGCAGTGTTTACCATATTGTTTGTATTGCTTCTCATTTTATGTGGTTTTGTTTCCACGTATGTTGAACTTCTTTTGCACCATACATAACCAGCCATGCTCACCGTAGGTGTGGGGGAAGGACAACAAACTAAACACAAAAAGCAGTTTTAAAGAAATTAGTTTTCAACTTAGATTTTAAAGTGCATAGCTCCAGTGGCTTCCTAATATCAAATGTTTGCTCCATTAGCCTCAGTGTAGTCGTTTGCATGTAGTTTTCATATCGGGTTGCCACAGGGTCCTGGTATTCCGAGGATATCTTCTCTTTCACGTAGCTTTCCTGTATACAATCTGTGGCTCTTCCTAGGACGTTAAAAGTTTTTGTCAGATCCATAATAATGCACCACCTCAAGATGGTGCATTTGCATGTACTTCTTTATTGGAAGGGCAAAATATATTCTTCTTCCCTTGTTATGTCCTAGTTTGTTTCGTACCTTAGGGGTGGCCGACCCCATGCGCATTTCAAATGTAAATCATTACAAAAACATTCTTCTTGTGCGCACGATGGGAAAGGCACGCATCGTAAGCCTTAAGAATCAACGTTCTGGGAAAGTTAAAGACCGCCCTTGGTCACCAACATTGGACTCACCTCGTCCTGCACCTGCCGCGTGGGAGAGGATTTGTTCGTGTCCCAGTTCACGCCGTTCACCATCTCCGGCTCCACCAGCGTCCGGTAGCGATCGCTCGCCGTCTCGTAGTTCTGAAGGTGGCAGATGGGGAGGGGAGACAGCAGAAGTTTGTGACTCACACGTTTGACCATGTCCGTAAAATATTCAAACACTTAAACGCAAGCTTCACACCTTCTCGAAGGGATTACCATTTAGTGATTTGCCCCGGAATGTTATGATTTTTTGTTTGTTGATGCGCCCTAATTTGCTTGTTTTGGTGATCAGACACCGCGACCATCAACTCTCTACAATTGAGAGGCCGGTTTTATTCATGGGCCACTGCCTGGATTCAAATCCAGGATTTTGGTTGTGCTGGTTTAATATCCTGGACCTCTGAGCCAGCCTCCCACTGTTGTGTCAAGTAAACAAACACATGGACACAGAACGAGGAGTATGAGTAAATCAGACATCCTGGTGGATAGATATAAAGTGGTACAAGAGCTATAAGAAAAAAACTCCAAACATTAATATTGAGCAAAGCGGTAAAGAACTGGCATAGAAATTTAACCGTGGCTGAAAGTTACTTGGGTCACATCATTACTATGAGCCGATCGAAGGGACAGACGATGAAAATGCAATGTTACTTTTTGTCCTATGAAGTGGGCTTTAATAAAAGGTCTTACCCGGACCGTTGACTGATAATCGTTCGCCAGCTGTTCCACTTTGTTCTTCTCGGTTTCCTTTCTGCGCAGCTCGTCCGCCAATCTCTGCAGCGACACGTGCACACACGACGACTTCAATACAAGACACAGAGACACGAAACGTGGTAGACAAGTGCCTTGACATTGATTCATCCACGTCCTAAATAATCCATTGAAGTGATGAACCAACGACGTGAACAGGAGCAGGGCGGGGGGAGCTTTTGGAAAAAGCTGAAGTCATTTACGAAGAGCAGGATTATATCAGCGCGCATTTTCTGCAGCAACAACAACGATAATTAGAAACATGGGCGGCATTGTCAAAGAAAATGGAACAAGATCTGCGAAGTGTGCCAAGTATGGAGAGAGATGCACCCTCGGAATTACACAACCGCGCCTGTGCACATGAAACGAAGAGACACGACCGGTACCTTTTGATCGGCGATCTTGGCATTGATGGATTCCACAGTCTCATTCTGTGACACACTTGGTTTGGGCACATTGTCCAGCCAGCTGTTGAGATTGTCATAGTTGCCCCGGTATTCAGAGTAGGTCTTCTCCGCATTGTCCAGCTCCTTCAGTCTGGCACACACACACACAACCCAACGTCTGAGCAGCCGCTTTCGCAAGCAACGAACACCGGACTCTCCGATTGGCGATTTTTGGGGTTTGTGCTGCGGCGGGTTGTTGGACACGACGTCCACCTGCTGGGAGCAAAAAAAAAAAAAAAAAAAAAAAAAAAAAAAAAAATTGTTATCATCTCCCCTGAAGAAGCCCCGCTGGGCGTGTGCGGGCAAATACGTCGGGTGACGGACCGTACGGTGCGCGGTATGACATCGAAAAACACATCGGAGAACTACGCCGCAAAGTCACGAAAATCGTACGCAGCAACACAGCAGCAGGACTACCGCCAAGGTGAACACCGTCCCGGGTGGGGGGTGGGGGGTGGGGGTCGGGGGGCGGGGGGGGCGGTTTGCCTCACCTGAGGTTCGTCTGGTCCCCCATGTTGCCGAAGCGCTGGCGCAGTCGGTTCACCTCGCTCTCTTGGCGCTCCACGTCGGGGCAGCGCTCGTTAAAGTTGCGGGCGATGTTCTGGCTGTGCTGCTGGGTGTTCTGCAGGTTCCTCGCCGGCTCCTCCAGCACCAGCGCCTTCTTGGCGCCGAGATCTTTCTTGACGGCCTGCGCGGGCCCGACACGTCTGGCTGGTAAACGTTGTCGGCGGTTCGAGGACCTATTCGTTGTGTGCGTGCGATGTCTCGAGCCTCAACCGCGATCGTTAGAATTTTCGTCGAGGAAGTGAACCGACGGGACAGCACGGCTCAGGTTTTTAAACAGGCACCTCGATTACTGCTCTTTGCTTTACGATTTTATTTTACCAGGTAAAGCCCACTGTGGTACGAGCTCTTTTTCAGAAGCGGCCTGGCCACAAAGGTTAGCTCGACAAAGTGGCTTATGTCGAAATTTCCAGCAGCCAAATCATCTAAATGCAGCCAGTTAATCTAAACCCACACGACCATGGAGATAGAGACACGCAAACTCCGAATATACAGGCGTCGTCTGGGTCGGGATTGAACCCACGATCTCCTGTATACCAGGCGAGGGATAACATCTAACTTAGGCCACCGCTACACGCGGTAGTGTAGCGGTGGCCTAAGTTCGATTCCCACTCATGGCAAACACCGCTGACGATTATTTGAACCGGTCCTGGGCCTCCCCTAGGTCGATTCAGCCTTAAATGAATACTTGGTGCGATGTTTTCATATCGTCACTGGCGAGACAAAGGGCTGGCCAGGCGTGGTGTTGGCCACCCACGCCCTCGTGTACCGTTCCGGCCTTCATAATTGCTGCTCGCTAACAGCACTTGCCCCAACAGTCCGTTAAGGCTGTAAGAGGTGGGGGGGAGGGAACATTTGTCTCTGTATCCGGGGTCACCTCCAGCTCCTTGCGGCGCGTGCGGATGCCCGCCAGGTCCGTGGGGATGCTCTGCTCCAGCGCGAGGGAGCGCTCCAGGGGAGCGATGGCGCCCTCCGCCTTCTGCAGAGACACCTCCATGCCCGACGCCGCCTTGGCTCTGGGGAGCGGGCAAAGAGAGGTGCGCCATTAAATGAATGAGGCTCTCGCTTGCGAGAATTATATTGTTTTTATTTTTACGGCTATGGATTGTCAGACGCAATCATTAAGCTTCGTTGGAGAGGGAAAAAAAAAAAGACTAAAATCACGGTTCGGTGGATTTTCAGTGTTCTGCGTCGCACGTTACTTCGATTCGTACGAAAGTGACACCACAGCGACAACCACCAGGGTATCGCAATGCCAGGCTTGGTCATTTATCTGTTCACTTTGCATCTTCCTTGAGGCAACATAGGGCGTCGATGTCGCTAAGCAATCAAACAACAGCGGCCGCGACTACGCACGCCACTGCCCCGTTGGCCGCCTCCGAGAACCGGACTATGGCCTATTTCGGGTTCACAGCGCAGCTGCGCTAACCGTTACCCCACCGCTCACACCCGCTTATTTATTCACGTGTGGACGAGCAGTGTGCGGTGCACGGTGGGAGGGGTGGGTGGTGGTGGTGGTGGTGAGATCTTACTTGTCTCCGTAGTTGTTGGCCAGCAAGGAGACCCGTGTGTACTTGGCGTCGGTCTCGTCCAGCTTCTGCCGCAGCTTGGGGGCGCTCGGGCACTTGGGCTTGCGCGAGAGGAAGGCCTCAGCGGACTTGACCACCTTGGCCTTCTCCGTGTTGAGCACCTGCAGCCTCTTGAGGATCGCCTGCATTGTGCGCCATCGTCAACATCAATGTCAGCATCATCATCATCATTATCATCAGAAGCAGCAATAGTGGGTACAGCAACAGCACCCATCATCATGAGCAGCAGAAGCATTTTTATTCATTGTTGAGCCTTGTTGTCATGATTTGTAGTAGCAGCAGCAGCAGCACCATTATGGCACCATCGTCTTCATGAGCATCAGCAGCAGCAGTGTCTTTAGCCACTATCATGAACGTCATCATCGGCACCATCATCAAAGATAATTCACGCACGATTCAGCAGCATCGTCATTGATAGTCAGCATAATAATAAAAAAACTCTCAAAAAATGTTTGCGGATGTTTGCGGATGCTTGCGCTCCCGTGATGAGCTTGCAAAGAGAAAATGTTCACGAAAGACTGGATGTACTTACGAGATAAAATGATACTACAAAGGTGTACAAAGGTGGAGGCTGTACAAAAAGGTCTCGTTTAATTATGGACAAGACATCCATGATGCTCTTGGCAGTACAAACATTAAATTATACGTGTTTCACCCTTGTAAAGCTCCGCACGTTCGCAACGGTGTTGGGTGCCACCCATCGATCGTATTGCCCTCTTGCCAAATATATATATATTAAAAATCACTCTGGGAGTATTTCGGCTTGTGTGGCGTCATCTGTAAGCACGCGGGCGAAGTCGGCGAGCGAGGCAACGGTGCGGTGCAGAAGGCATTGCCGGCGACAAATTTAGCGGAAAATAAAAAAAACTGAAGAAGGCGCTCACGTCTTGCTCGCGTAGCCGAGAGGCGCCGTCCTCGGCCGGCCGGTTCTTGTCGAGTGGTGTGCGAAGTTTGGTCAGCATCTGCTGCTCCTGGTCATCGAGCTCGTAGTAGATGCGCTCCAGGTCGGAGATGTGCTTGACGCACTCCCTCTCCTCCGAGTTGTCTGCCGCCAGAACTGGTGTGGTGGACGCACACACGCAGGGGCCGTCACGTACTTATTCATCGTGTGCGTTTTAAAAACAAAATGGAATCGTGGCCGCTGAGCACAGGCACCGAAAGGGCCCAAGACGCAAAGTGGCCGAACGTGTCGGTGTTGACGGTAAACGCACCGACGATTGCGTTACGCAAAACTTTACGGAACTCTCCACCAATCCAATTAATTTCCCCTCACGGTGTCCCAACCGACCCCTCATTTCCATTTAGTTTTTCCTGACGACCAATCCAAATTTAAAGACTCTCCACCTTGAAATCCGATTGGGCGTGCCCCCTACGTCGCCTCCCCCTGGCCAATGAGAGTCCAGCGCCGCTATTCAAACTCACGAGGGAGCCATTAAGACTCGGCGAGTGTTTATCTATTTATTTATTTATTTCCGAACAGTGCTTGCCTCTCGGCATCCCTTACCACGGGCATATTTTCTTTAAAATTATAATTATCTTCATTAAAACACAGATCAGGAAATTACTCAATTTAGGTACCACCCTGAACCCCCCTTCTCTCCCTCCGTAAGCGTCACCGCCGACACGCCGAAGGATTTCCCCGGAGTCGTACCTTGGCCGGCCTGCTGCTTGACGTCGCCCGCCCGTTTCCGCAGCGCCGCCTCCGTCTCCCGGCGCTTCTGCTTGAGCTCGCTGAACTGCGTGGAGATCCTGCGCAGCGGCGAAAACGAGCGAGCCGCCTTCGTGACAAACTCGAGGCGCGTGTTGGCGTACGCGTGGAGCCACGTAAAGCCTGTGCAGGACTTTGTGCCCCACGTGACGCGCATCGGGCGTAGAGGCTGCACGAGGGGCTGGCGACCTGCGGCTCCGGAGCCGCTTCCGGCTGTTTAAGGACTGCATCGTGACAATATTCACATTTTCTTGGTTCTTTCGGTAAAGTCACATAGAAGGGAAATAATAAAATAATAAAAATAAAACATTATAAATTACAATTCTCACGATGTTTTGGCCACAACGCAAGCAGCCGTCCTCAGGTGAAGAACAGGGTTGTCGGAAAGACAGACATTCAGACGCCGTCTTTCTGACAGATTATTTTTACCGAATTCGAAAAAGAATTGCTCTTCTTGTTATTTTGGTTGCCGACCCCTGGGCTACACAGTGGGGGGTAAGCGGGATAGGTGGATGTGGGGGGCACGGTGGAGGGGGGGGGGATCGTTGCCTCCGTGGTAACGCACCCGTCGGCCAGCGCGATCGAGTCTGGGTCCGTGGGGGGGATGACGAAGCAGGCGCTCGGCACGGTCTCCGTCTTGCCGGCCGAGTTGGACACCACCCAGTTCTCCTTGTCGCTGTTGTCCTTCAGCGTGTACTTGTCTCCGCGGTGCAGGACCAGCTGCGGAGAACACATCCAAGCGCCGGGCTCGTTACGCTCGACGGGGCGGCACCTCCCCGGCGTCCGCAGCGGAACGTACGCAACAGGTGGGGGAGGAGTACGTTGGATAATCATGCCTCGGCGGGAGCCCCAAATCAAGATCGCGTTGAGAGCCACTTTGACAAGACCGCCATCCCGTTGCACCGCAGTCTCCAAAAGGTGACGCCTCGCGAAAAGCCGATTTCAACGTTAACGTGCACAGCCCTTGTGCAGAGCCACTGCTGTATGGATGGCGTCCTCATGCCCTGCGGGGGTCAAATTTGTGGTTGCCGGACCGTACTTCGCCCACCGTGTTGGCTACGCCACGACTCAATAAGCGCTCCAATGAGTCGCGGAGCTGCCCAATATGAAAACTTCCGGAACCCCTCCGGCTGCGTATTGCGCGCGGTGATCAAACGACGGTGTCCCGAGTCGGGTGCGGCGCCGAGGTCCCGCGCTGCACTCACTTCCCCGTCCTCGTAGTCGCACAGCGTCTCCACAGTGAGCGGCTTGGGGATCTTCTCGCGGCGATACTTGAGCGGCACGATTTGAGTGGCCCGGTTCCTCAGCGCCACCACGTTCTTCTCGTAGGCGTCCATCTCTTTTTCCTTCTCCTGCGGAAGGCGGAGGGGGCAGCGGAGACGCGTTGCACAATAGGCCGCAGGCACGCGAGTGGACGTTTTCACAACAAAAAGACCCAACACAAACGGAACTCGATTTCCTTCTGGGTATCATCGGCAGTCTGGCTCGACACCCAGAAGGTTTGTTGGCAGGCGAAACTGACACTTGGGGGCCTGCTCTGAAAGTTTGCTGCCATTTTTGTTGTTGTTCCCACCGCCCATTGTTATTACTGTGACAGAGGCAATGATAATAATGACAAAAAGGTGGTGAGATGTATGAATTAGTAAGTAATGTTCATGGGATTGTGCTCGCATCACACCGGGCAGGCTCAGGGTTCGACTCGGACCCCGGGAGGTGTGGAAGCCAGGCGCTTGCAGATGCGCTTTTGCGGCCGTCTTGAACGCTCTCTTTCTTCCGATATTAGGAAGCCACCGGAGCTATGCACTTTTAGATCATCTGGATTGATAAAACTACTGTCTTTCGAACCGCTTTTTGTGTTTAGTTTGTTGTCCTTCCCCCGCACCTCCGAATAGCACGGTTGGCTACGTACGGTGTGCAAGAAGTTCAACATACACACGCACATTAGATCACTGCAGTAGCGTAGGGCAAATCACGGTTGGCATATGTTATCCGTCATGTCTGGTTGCAGCTGATGCCTTCGACCCCCACTTCAGCATCAACAATGCCGTGTCAAACATCATCTGCTCAATCGTGTTTGGGAACCGCTTTGACTACGACGACAAGCGCTTCCGCGACTTTCTGCAACTCTTCGCCGAGAACTTCAGGATCGAAGGCGGCTGGAGGGGGAAGGCAAGTGGAGTTGAATCTTCAACGAGCGTTCGCTTATAAGTCTTTTATTTTAAAGTCTTTTCTGTGCCGGCCCGATCTGGTAGGGCCCTGAGGAGGCACCGGGTTGCTTTTTGTACAACCCCCGGGGGTGGGGGGTGGGGGGGCACGTGAATTTGGCGTGGCCCTGCTGGGCGCTGCACCCACCTGCACCTCCTTGAACAGCTCCTCGACTCTCAGGGCGCTGTCGTTGGGGTCGACCGTGTAGCGCCGTTTCATGTCCGCCGACTGCTTGGTCAGCCACTCGTTGGACTCCTTCGCGTCCTTGTTGAACTGAAACGGAACGATAACGCGTGGTGTCTCTCCCCCCACCGGCGAGGCCTCTCCATCGCACTTTCAATGGTACCAGATGTGAAGGAGTCCCAGCCCGAGTGAGTCTTGAACTCAGTCTTTATTCCGTCTTCCGCACAGCGCGTCACACATCAGGTAATTACTCCGTTCAGGTGCCAACCTTGAACCCCCGTCTGTCCGCTCCTTTTATTCTCTTTTCCACCATTCCCGATCTTTCCACGACTCTCCATCAATTCCATTAATTTCTCCTCACGGTCTCCCAACCAACCCCTCAATCCCATTTAGTGTTGTTCCCCGATGACCAATCGGCTTTGAATGTCTCTCCACCTTCAAGTCCGATTGGGCGTGCCCCCTACGTCGGCTCCTCCCCCCCGTGATAGTTGCTGGCCAATGAGAGGCGAGCGCCGCTATTCGAACTCCCGAGGAGCCGTGAGAGGCAGCGAGTGTTTATTTATTTCCGAGCAGGGCTTGCCTATCGGCATCCCTCACCACAGGTATATTTAAAATGTTTTTTTCGTATTATCGTCATTAAAACATTGCAATGAAACATCGGTTCATCTCTGCGTCAACCGAGTTTGTTCGGCGTGCCTACCCAAATGCCGTAGGACGTTCAGTAAATTCGCACGCGCGTGTGTTTGTACCATCGTGTGCTCACCCACAAGGACACCTACCTTGTGGTGCTCGGTCATGAACTTGAGGTGAGCCTCCTCGCAGATGAGGAGGTTGAGGTATCTCTTCCAGTCGTTCTCCACTGCGTCCATGTGGGCCTGCACACCACCACACCACACGCATCAAACACTGTTGCATCGTACCACACACATCGCTTCACATGTCACTAAGACAAAGATCCCCCCCCCCGTAGTCTTCACAGGACTGTAAGGGCAAGTGCTGTTAGCGAGCAGCACCTACGAAGGCCCGGAACAGCATGCCCCGGCCGCCTTTGAGGCGAGGGGGAGGAAAGAGGATAGGGATTGGGCGATTGGAGAAGAGGTTGAGGCTTTAAGAGAGGAATGGAAGAAGGTTAAGGAGGGGGACCTCTTTATGTACGTATGTTGAACTTCTTTCGCACCCTACTTAGCCAGCCGTGCAGGGGGAAGTCGTGCCCGACTTTCATTGGCAAATCATCACGGTGCGCCCTCTCCGGGGAGACCCCCTCGTCCGTTACCACTCACCTCGATCGTCGGCTTGGCCGGGTGCTTGGCCGCCAGCAGCTTCTCGCCCTCGTCTTGGATCTGGTTGATGGACGCCTCCTTGGCCACGAGCTCGTTGTTGACGATGTTCTGCACGTCGACACCGTTTTGACAGGTTAGGGGCGGGGGGGGGGGGGGGCGTTTCCTGTTTCACAGCTGGGAGCCGGCGTGGTGGCAATCGATTAGATTGCGAGCTACGCACTCCCAACCGCTGCGCCGTACGGCCAGGCCGAACACATTAATAGGAACGACAAACAACAACAATAACAACAACAACGGCAACCGTATCTCACGACGCTTGTCTGGCCAGGAATACACGGCAAGAGAGAGAGAGTGTGTTACGCTGCGAGCACGGCCCGGGGCGAACCAACCGGGACCCAGGACCAACGGTGACAACGAGCCCCAGGGCACCGACAGCTCCGCGCGGTGTCGTGGCAGCGGGAGGAGGAAGAGGAGGAGGTGGAGGACGACGACGCACCTCATACTTCCGGGTGCGCATGTCAAAGTCGAGGTTGCGGTCGCTCCAGTCCATGCCCTTGCGCTCCTCCTGCTCAGAGTCCAGCCACATGAGCTCGCGAGTGCAGCGCTGCATGTACGTGTGCAGTTCGTTCAGGTCCTTCTGCCGCTTGGTGGACGTGCCCTGGGAACAAACGGGGGGGGGGGGGGGCGGGGGGCCGTGTGGCACCGTCGTGATGAGCGGCTTTGCCGAGTGTTTTCGGGTCGTGTGGGGGGGGGGGGGGCGGATGAGGGGGATGAGGGGGGGGGGGGGTTTCTGCGTTGCCGCGCAGCGGTCGACGTTTTTGCTCTTCGCGCTCGGGAAACCCCCGAAAGTTCGACGCGGAAAACGCATCGCAGAGGAACACAGCATAGCCGCCAAAACCTACAATGGTAATAACCGTTCCACCTTAAATTAGTGACTGCTAAATTAATAGGAAGGGGAGGGGTCCCGTTTCAATGCCCGAAATTTCAAGCAGCATCAACTGCTGGACCAGGCTTTGGACCAAGCTCTGGACCAGGCTCTTGACCAGGCTCTTGACCAGGCTCTTGACCAGGCTCTTGACCAGGCTCTTGACCAGGCTCTTGACCAGGCTCTTGACCAGGCTCTTGACCAGGCTCTTGACCAGGCTCTTGACCAGGCTCTTGACCAGGCTCTTGACCAGGCTCTTGACCAGGCTCTGGACCAGGCTCTGGACCAGGCTCTTGACCAGGCTCTGGACCAGTGCTTTCAACAAATTGAACTCTGATCCCGTGTTTTGGACTTCTCTCTAATGCGCGAGATGGGTGTGTGTGGGTGTGTGCGGGGTTTTCATTCTGCACCAATATCTCAAAAGCTCTCGCGTGCACGAATATCCATCTGCCACCACACAATTCATAAATACAGCCACGCTGCCCGTAGTGTGATGACCCTATAGAACACACATCTCTGCAGAAAATTAAAACGATTATTCGTCAGGCACATTGGGTGGGGTATGTGGCTTTTCACTCATGTCAACTTCAGTTTCCATTTAGAAAAAAAAAACAATCACTTCATCCTGCATCTTTTTTTTTGACCATCGGGCAATTGCGATCCTAAGCCGTGATCAACGATCGCCATTGGGGTACCCACATTTTGGCGGCGTTTTAACGTCCCTCCACCGCGCTCACGTTTCCCACGAGACACAATCGCCGCGTGTGTGCGCGCGCACGTGCAGGGTCGCTGATATGTTTGCTTTAAAGCAGACGGCAGCACGAATGATGTCCGTGTGGAGCGCTTGAGGAATGTGCGGAAGGCACCCGCGCCCGTTAGGTAAACGAGAGCGGGTGCGTCAGCGTGCGTCAGCGTGCGTCAGCGTGCGGTGCGGCGCCACTGACCAGCAAGGTGCCGTACTCCTCGTTCAGCTTGCGCAGGTACTCCTGCCAACAACACGCGCAGGTCATAACGTCAGCAGCTGCCACCGACAAAAATTCCCAAAGTTTTTTTTTTACTCGTAAGAAAAATAAAAAAAACCGCACACACACTCACACACACACACACTTAACGCGCGTGTAGGAATGTGTTCAGGTAGGCCCGGAGATGATCGGCCATCACGACTTTGGTGCTCGTAATTACGGGGTCTCCTTCGGCCGCCTTGACGTGCGGCCCGTAAGCCTCGATCTCCTTGTGGATGATGTTGTGTTCGGCCATCTGCATCTCCACGGTCACCAGGTCCGATCCAAAGCCTTTCCGGTTGAGCGAGTACTGCAGGCAAAGACAAAGATCCCACCCGTAGCGTTAACAGACTGTTGGGGACAAGTGCTGTTAGTGAGTAGCACCTATGAATGCCAGCAAGGCACACGAGGGGGTGGGTGGCCAGCAGCACGCCCGGCCGCCTTTGTCTCCCCAGTGGCGATGTTTTTACACACCGTACCAGGTTCTCATGAGGCCGATTCGATCTAGCGGAGGCCCAGGACCAGTTCAGATAATCGTCACTGGTGTTGGCCATGATCGGGAATCGAACACGGGTCTCCAGGTTCGTAGAAAAATGTGCTAACTGCTACATTACCACTTCCTATCCACACACACAGAGCGGTGTATGCTCTAGTACTATGGTGGCTCGCTAACATGCGTTTGTCTTTGAAGGAGAAAACCACAACACTTCTTCGAAAATCTGACTCGAAAAAACTGGAATAATGTGCAAAACGTTAACTATAAAAACTCGCGAACCGGTGCAAAATACTGTTTCAATATTGCCACAAGAGTTCACGGGAATATCCGATGCGTCACAGGGCCACGTTTGCTTGTGCTGCACACGGCGCAATAATCGTATGCGGTTTCTTTTTGCAAAATGCATTTACACGCGTGGCTACGTGCATGCTCGCACAATTACACAGATGCTGCAGAGGTAATGTGCATAGTTGCACAGCGATCAACTGTTTGGTGGGGGGAGCGTTGTTGGTGCAGCTCACTGCGCCTTACAGTGGCGAACAAATATCTCGTAATCATTCATGGGCACCCCCATCACCAGCACGGTGAAGCATGGTCAAGCGAGTCAACATAACCGACACCCGCATAGGGAAGCCTTCTGTCCGCAGTCGATTAACTAAAGGCTTAAATATTGTTTTTAATTATTGCTACATATAAATGGGTACGAATGTAATATTCAAATGCACGTTGCATAAACCCAATAAACGTGCAGCGCCGGGGCAACGTCAGCACGAGGTTGGGGCCGTTGCACCAACGTCGGCCCAACGTTCAGCGTCGACTGGGGATAGGCATCACGGGATACTTGCGACGGCGTCCGCTGCATACAAATCGGCCCTCCCGTGTTTGCCTCGGAAATTAAACAACGCTCCCCCGCAGCAAACATGAACCTCGCAAAACGTCTGCATGGCTGCTGCGCCGGCACAGCGAGGCTTGCAGGGCAGCCGAGCTCTGGGACACCACGGACCCGTGCACCTTCACGGCAATTCCTCGCTGAACGCGCCGTCCTGTTTGCACAATGCGTTTTCTCGATAAAGTGGTTCTTTCACTCGGGGAAAACTTAACAGACCGCTTGGGGCAAGTAGCACCTATGAAGGCCGGCATGGCACACGAGGGCGTGGGTGGCCAACACCACGCCCGGCTGCCTTTGTCTCCCCAGTGGCAACGTTCAAACACCGTACCAGGTACTCATTTGAGGCCCAATAACGATTCAGATAATCGTCACCGGTGTTGGTGGCCGTGAGTGGGAATGGAACTCGGGTCGCCGGATTCTTGGGGCGGAGCGCTAACCGCTACGCCACCGCTCCGTACGCACGCACACGTACGCGCATGCACACGCACACGCACGCGCGAGGCATGAGCAAGCGTCGAGGCAGACCTACCCGCTTCTCCCCCACCATCTTGAGCCAGTCGACTTGCGGGCGCATGTTGGGGATGTTCACCTGCTCGTACACCTGGCGGTACTCGGCGCAGAGCTTCGACCAGCGGTCGTGCAGTTGGTGGATGCTGGGGGAGAAAGGCGACGGCAGGCACGTCCGGGACCACCGTTAGTTAACAGCGGGGCCTCGTTGTAGCCCACTCGGTCCCGAGTCGGTGCAAGGCACGAGGCGGGTGAGCACGAGGTGGTGAGGATGAGGTGGTGAGGAAGAGGTGGTGAGGAAGAGGTGGTGAGAGCATGAGTGAGGTGGTGAGCACAAGGTACGAGATGGTGAGCACGAGGTGGTGAGCACGAGGTGGTGAGGAAGAGGTACGAGGTGGTGAGCATGAGGCACGAGGTGGTGAGGACCAGGTGGTGAGGACCAGGTGGTGAGGACGAGACACGAGGTGGTGAGCACGAGGTACGAGGTAGTGAGGATGAGGTGGTGAGGAAGAGGTACGAGGTGGTGAGCATGAGTGAGGTGGTGAGCACGAGGTACGAGGTGGTGAGGACGAGGTACGAGGTGGTGCTGTGCTTTCCCGACGGCTCTCACTCTCTGTTGATCATCTCGCCCTGCGGGTGCTTGAGCTGCTTCACTTGCTCCGAGTCGAGGAAGAGGTCCTTGAGGCTGCCCTCGGCTCGGCTCAGGTTCTCGGCATTTTTCGCTCGGTATTGGAATTCCCGGCCGTTTTCCAGATTCTTGATATCCTATGGAACCAAATCGAGAAAAACAGGGGAGATGTTAATACAGAAACTACACGATGGAACGATGCTTGGCACTTGCACACAAGCGCAATGAAACAAATGATCACGTCATTAACGACGCCTTATTGCAGAACAGTACACGGTTGGCACATGTCTGTTTTTCAGTGTACGGCCCCTTCTTCACGACAGAGAAGGAGCACACTTCACTTCATGAAACATACGTGTGTTGCGAGGCAGTTGTATTACTACGAAGGGGGGGGGGGAATACTTGTTAACTTTAAAACTTTTGCCACAAGCCGACCGCGTGGGGCAACACGAGCTACGAATCGGGAGGCTTCCGCTTCGAATCAAACGACAGCAGATGGGCAGCCCTTCGCGGTACGCGGCGTAACCTGCCAGACCTATAGGAGTTCGTGTAGCCCCGTTAAAGAAAATTTGGCCGCGGTGTAATGAGAAACGGCCGACCCAACAGCATTGCGCGGTCAGTCCTTGGGTGCTGGCGGTGGCGAAGGGGGGGGGGGAAGAGGACACTGCTGCTTACAATGGCGAGCTTGTCCTCCGTGTCGATTATGTCCTTCTCCACCTGGTCGGCATTCTTCTGCAGTCGGCTGATGAGGATGGCCAACTCGTTAGCCTGGGCCCTGCGGGACACAAGACGCAAGCGGACGTTGGTGCTGGGAAACCGAGGGCACTCGTGGGCGAGCTGCGGTCGTCTTTCAAGACGCCGGACATCAGCTTGTCGCCGAAATACAATTTTTTGTATTTATTTATTAAACACATGTTTTCATGTTACCAGGTAAAGTCCACTGAGCCACATAGCTCTTTTTCAGAAGCGACCTGCCCATAAATGATAACTCAACGATGTGGCTTATCATCGCGTGGACATTTATAGCAGCCAGTGTGGAGGGAGAAACCGGAGGACCCGCAGAAACATCCACACGACCACGGGGAGAGAGACACGCAAAGTCGAAATATACAGCAGCAGGCGTCTGCATCGGGATCAAACCGACGGCCCGGTTCAGGGCATGAAAACAAACGACAGTAGAAGATGAATTGTAATTCATCATCATCATTATAATTATACAGCGGAGGTGTTTACACAAAGCGTGATTTAATTCATGGGGATTTAATCAGTTTCTCGACCGGGACAGCGAGGAGGAGAAGCCTCATCATGTATTGCCCTTACTTCTCTACACGTTCGCACACAATGGAAGTTGTTGTAGGAAGCTGTAGGTGTGTCTGCCGAGGGGAGTGGTGGCACGGAATGTTCTAAGAATGACTGCAGGGTCACACAGGCAGGGTGTGCGCTGTGAAGGAGCCCGATCATAATGCAACTGCAGTGCAGGAAGTAATTATAATAACTAACACATTATGCTTTGGTTCTTTCGGTAAAGTCACGTATAAAGATAAAATAATAAATTAAATAATAGCATACTACGACGTTTCGATTGCAACACAAGCAATCGTTATCAGGTATAAAAGAAATAGCAACAAAAATCTACCCAGAAAACTATAGACATACATATAAGCAGGCAGATATCACAAAGATACATAGAGAGAAAACACACATCGGCAAAGATACATAGAGAGAGAACACACACACAGAGTTCTCTGTGTATCTTTGTGATATCTGCCTGCTTATATGTCTGTCTATAGTTTTCTGGTTAGATTTTTGTTGCTATTTCTTTTATACCCGATGATGATTGCTTGTGTTGCAATCGAAACGTCGTGGTATGCTATTATTTTATTTATTATTTTATCTTTATACGTGACTTTACCGAAAGAACCAAAGAGTAATTCCTGCAGTCACGAAAGCTCCAAATTAAGATTAAAACATTATGAATAATAAGAATAGGTTTTACCCCTTCTGACAAAACAGTTGTGTTCAGATGTTCAAACACCAAATAGAAACCTTCAGCAAGGAATCAAGTTGCTGCATTAACCACGCGTACTTGTGGTGAACATGCAAACATGGCTCTGATACTATGTGGAATTGTCTTTGAAACTGATTGGTCTACCCCAGAGACAGCAGCCTTCTTCAGGGCCTAGTCTCACCACCAGCGTCACACCAGAGAACAACGCCAAAAGGCGACCAGCACAAAGACAATGCACTATCAGAGCATTTGTAGCTCGGGGTGAGCAGCTATATCATGGGACCTGTTTGCCAGTATCACACATTATGCCCTTTTTCTTGATCCGTGAAAACCTCAGAGTCGTCGCAAAGTTACACAAAGTGTTTGGCGATGCTGCGTTGGCTGTGGTGCAAAAGTGCAGTTAACAAACCCCCCCCCCCCTCACATTCGTCAATAACGCTGTGGAAAAAAATATTAAATAATATATAGGCGACGTTTCTGACAGGCCATTACCCGAAATGTCGCCTATTACATACACTGTGTATATGCTTTATTTTATTCTAAGGCCACAGTATTATTGATGAATGCGTTGAGCATTTTTGAGTCTCAAAAGGCTGTTGTCGGAGGCTCCACCGTTGGGTTGTTGGGCCAATTCCGAAGCCACGGAAAATTGTGCGGCAAAGCCCGAGTTGTTGGAAGCTGAGAAGCACCACAGCCGTGCCGTTATAAATCTCATGTTCTTGCGCCATGTTCCACCAAACTCTTGTTCATTACTATTATAAAGCCATTGAGGAAATATGAATACATGGCATTGATAAAAATACTGCCCCATCTCCCCAGCACAGAAGCTGGAAGTTACTATTTAGAAGGGGGTGCGATGTGCTTTAATACAACGAGACTAAACGAATGATCGGTGTGGTGTTGTGAACGTCAACGACGGGGAGACAAAGGTGGGCGGGCGTGGTGCTGGCTCCCCGCTCGCTTGGCCTTCATGAGGTGGCTGTGCAACCAGCACTTGCCTGCACAGCCTGTAAAGAGGCTATACGGGAGATCTTTGTCTTTGCAGTATGAAGTGTTCCAAGCGAAACGTAATGCTTTAGTAATACAGTAATGCTGTGGTAATAAAATACCAGCAGCATCGAATGATAAAATGTATTTAGGGAAAGAGTGTCAGCATTGTCTTCGTGTCGTGTTTCCACGGCCAGCTGTTAACAACGCCGGTGGCAATGAGGTTCTCCACGCGTGCATACTGGACTGGAGTTCACAACCCACTCGCTAAATCCACCTCCACTCTGTATCACGGACATACATATTCAATGGCATTCCATAACACAGCCCACGGACTTACGTTAGCTCGCACAAGTCTGTGGGGTCGTTCCTCGCACCTCCGATTAGCGCGGTCGGCCACGTGCGATGAAAAACAAGTTCAACGTACGCACGAGACAACTCGTGACCGGGTTTGAACTTTTGAGTTCTCATCAGCAAACCGTGATGTTGAAACACCTTTCCAAGATTTGGGGTGGGGGAAAACGTCACTCAACTCAAATCTGTCCACGAGTTATAATTCAAAATCGCTGCACTGCATTAGGGCACACGCATTGCCGGATAATGGTGTTGTGTTCCACAATGTTCCACGTGATATTAATGTGTCCGTGCTATTGCTGCTGCATTTCAGTACCTGTCCGTATGCTGGGCTGGGTTAATTTGGTTCTTTAGCCCAAGGCTGTGCCAAATACATCCAAACAAAATCTTAACGAAAAAAAAAAGTGCGGTTTCAAATTGTGGGCTTCAACTAACCTCAATGCTTCCTAAATGACACGTTTCTGACGTGAAAATTAAAACCAATTCCCACAAAACCCACTAAAAGGACAATTATCTTGTATTTAAATACAGGTTCTGGTTTTACATTGATGGTGATCGCTTTGGTAATTGCATTTGCTGGCAGAAGACACTGCCAAAATATGCAGCGAGCATTGTGGAATACATTGACTGTACATTAAAACACACACACACATCTGCACCTGCCCAAACTTATTCTACAGTTGTGGTTGATCTACCCCTTGGCAGGGAGATGACAAATGCGCCCAAATCTCGGAAAAACAGGTTGTGTCGTTGATAGATGTTCTTTAATACGCGAGCAGAACAATATCCATTTAATTTATTGCCCGTCCAAGAAACATTTTTTGTGATCAGAAAATTGAAAAGACAGCATACGCTGTCCATAGAGGATTGATATTCTGGCTTTGGGTATTCAGGTGCCAGTTTGTTACTGAACCCGGTGATCCCCCAGCCCGCTTCCTGGCTATGCCTCAACAATAATGGCGAGTGATGTCCGAACCAGGTTTGGAGGCCCTCTCCTTACTAACCACCCCCCTACCGACCAGCGTGGTGAAATATGGTGAAACGAGCCCCTGTGAGCTGCCATGAATTAGGGAGGCCTTCATCCAGCAGTGGATTGACAAAGTCGTTTCTACCCATCACGAGTTCAGTAGTTCATTATCGTTTTTTAGATTAGCACTGGCAAAGTAAAAATTTTCGTCTTTTTTAAGTATTTTGATAGCAGGCGTTTATGACAAATCCAGCTAGTAACATTTATACCAACAACAACTGCCACTAAGTAGTGGTGACATCACCACGGCGCTTGTGCCAGGCTACGTGCAGGTTAAGGCCACGTGAAGTGCCGAACGCCCGCTGGTAGGTGGTCACAGGACAGACCCAGGTGCCATGGGTTGACTTGACTGAGCTGACTGGCCGATGCACCACCTGTGTTGACACCACATCCGTCAATATACACAACTCAACAAAGCGAGGAATCACTTTGAGGAATAATCTCACATGCCAGTCGTGGTTTGAAATTCCACATTCCTATGGTCCCCAGCCAGCTTAGTCGACACATTTCATAAAGGACCCCAACAGACATACCTCCTGTACCCAATCTGATCTGGTGAGTTTCTGGCGCTGTTATCTGCTGATCAAGGTAGAGGACATTTTTAAAACCAGCTGTGATAGACTGAAAGCACCTTCATTTAAGCGGGGGGGGGGGGGGGGGGGGGGGGAACATAGCTGGCACGTTTGTCATCATATTTGCCACGATTCACCCCTCTGGTCATTCCATTTGTCGCTAAGAGATTTCAAAATCGATAATTTCTTGTTAACATCGCGGTGACTGTAGCTACCACTATTGAACTATTACGTGCAACGTATATATGCACGTATGTAGAACTTATTTTGCACCGTACGAAGCCAAGCCGTGCTAATCGGGGCATTGGCATAAAAGGTGTCATACCCATGGCTTGTCAGGAGAAGGCAGTGTAGCAAACATTTGGACTCAACCTGTTCCGTCTGTATGGGATCGAGTGTTTCCCCCTCGCACGAGTGGGGTTTTGTCCAGGTGCTCCGGTTTCCTCCTCGAATGTAAAACACTCATTATTTGTCCAATAACACCTTAACATAGACAGAGTGCAAATGCTTGGGCGATTGTTGGCGTGGCTGCCTTCTCGCTCGTCTGCGGTTCCCGCTCACGCTTCTGGAGAGCGAGCGAATGCCGTGTGCGGTGGCGCTTTACAAGCTGGGCTCACCGATATTCACTATTACGATATTCAGATTCGTACTCAAATGAGGTGCCCCAAGTTGTCCACTGGCTCAGCCACTCGCCAACTTTGACGTCAAAACTTACAAACATTGCCGATCAATTCCCCACCATACGAAAGAAGATTAATCTATGATATCATCTATAATAATCAATGATAATCAATGATAATCTATAATAATCGATGAATCACTAACAG